ATGTCATTTCAGCCGAAAAGTGACGGTTTCATAACCTTTTGCATTTTCAATAAGTGAAAAACTGTTTGATAAATAGCTGTTTGACAGTTGCTTTTTTGCACGAAAACGCTACAAATAGGCGAGTTTCGACTTAGCGTTTTGAAACATGACGTTCTCTACTAATTTTATGATCAAACAGCTGAATTATCAAATATCTTCTGACAACCTGCCAACTTATTCCGCTCGTCAAACACGCTGACTGAATCTGCTATCGATAATCCGCTAATATAATCCGCAAAACACACCCCTTATAATACTTGTGATATGCATTTAAATTGTCAACGTATGCACGTTCTACGTACTTTAATCTATTGATGATTGTTAAGCGTATTTTCGTACGGAGTAATACACAAGGTATGTCAGATAATGGTCTATATATGGTCGTAACCTTCTAATGATGCTTGAATAAGAACTTCTTACCCCGATGTGGATTTGGGTGTTTGTCTAAATAGATACCGAAGTATCACTAAACATGTCAAAATTTTGTTTGATCTAAATTTAGTGTTCAGCACTGCAAGAAATATGCCATGGTCTCAACTCTCAAATTATAGCCCGAAACCAAGTACGAAGTATATAATGAAGAGTATAGCTTCCACTGTATAGTATACAAGACACTATTCAGTATTCGTATGTACAGTTGTACACTAATCTACTTTACAGTTTACACTTTACACAACATCAAAATTACGGGATTACCCCAAAATTTGGCATGGATTATCGATTTTTCGTGTCAAATAGATCATGCCAAAGTATTTTTGACACGGATTTAGCATATTCCTGCCAAAATCCCTGTCAAATCCCTGCTAAAATCCTTGTCAATCCAATGTTTTTCTTGTAGTGTTGTTATTATGTACTACCTCTGCCCGTGCTAAGGTTTCAATTGCAAAATGACACAACTATTTAGATACTAATTCGAGTATATTTCAATAAATAATTTTGATAGATATATAATATAATGACTTGTTGATGGTATTTGTGATGTTATAGATGTATTATAGTTAATATTTATTAATCACTAAATTCGAGTATATTTCAATAAATAAGTTTGATAGATATATAATATAATGACTTATTGATGATATTTGTGATGTTATAGATGTATTATTGTTAATATTTAATCACTAAATTGTTATTTAAAAGTATTAATTATTTTCAAAATAGAAAAGGAGAACTTTTAAGTGGGATATTTAGAAAAAGAAAGTGAGAACATTGAATGAGATGGATGAAGTATATATGAGCATTGTATCCTAGTATGCTCTCGTAGTCTCCTGTTGGCCTCATATAGTCATACGGAGTATGTGATTTGCCTCCACTACATATTTCATTGTTCGTGGTTTTTTCCAAGCAGTTTCTCGCGGCCTATTGTGGAGGCGCCGTGCTGGACCGATGGTCATCGCCAAGAGTTTATCATAGACAATGGTAGTTATATAATTAGTTGCATGTAATAAAATATCAGACATAACATCACCATAGATATAGCTACAAAAGATTGGCACAGATTTCACACAGATTCATATGATTTCATGTCAAAGAGCTTGTGTCAAAATGTTTTTGACACGGGTTAGGCATATCGTTGTCAAATCCTCTATGAACTTTGGTGAATCTCTGTCAAATCCTATATGAATTTTGGCCAATCCCTGCAAAAAGTTATTATCAATCCCGAGTTTTTTTGTAATGCAAGTTGGGCCCGTCTTGCCTCAATTTGGTGGTGTAAGGGCATGTCGGGCCTCATGCACTTCAATTTGGTAAAAAACTTTAGCTTTTTGTGTAAAAGTTGTGTAAAAGCTTTACATTTATGAAAAAGTGTTTACAAGCCGGCCCACATAAGAATGATATTTTTGGGTTCAACTCCTCTTCATTTCTTTCTCTTCATTTCCACTCTATTTCTTTTTTACTTCCTATCCTATTTTTATCTTTTTCTCTATGCTACTCACCAACCTACCATACTCTTGATTCTCTCCTCTCTATATCTCTCCTCATGGAACTCTTAATAGGGAGAAATAAATAGTATGGAGTATTCTCTTTATCTCAATTTTGTTTGTCTTTGGTACATACTAACCAAATGGCATGGACGTCTGAAGCGTCTAAATATGTAAATTTGAATTAAATAAGAAAAAATCATAAATGTTACTCTTTAAAATGTGATGAACAAGAATATTAATTACTTCATATTTAGTAACTATTAATGATTTCAATTATGTTCAAAATTTACATCATAGTATCTAAATGTAAGTTACTGTGATGTAAACTTTGAATACAATTATAACCACTAATAGTTATTAAGTCATATTTTTTCACATTTTTATTAGCAATAATTTAAATATTAATAAGAGGTTTAATTTAATCAGTATACTCCAAAATGAGACATATACTACGTATGTAATATGTGCGCAATAAAACAAGTAGGACTGGATGAGTATATGTTTATGGGTGGACACATAATTAATTCCTTTGATACTTCTAGTCACGATGATACTTTGCACAATTTGAAATGGTGTACTATCGTTATGTTACACACCGGAATCGGTAATCTCCTTATAACATCAAGACACTACCATAACTATAAAATATTTTTGCACATTTTTAGTGTTTAGACACTTGTATACACTATCTTATGAAAACTTTTTTACAGCCAAAAAGCGTTTTGTCTCCAGACAAAAAAACATGCACAAATATGTGTGTAACCATTAAAATATGTATAACAAAAATAATCAGATATCCTCAGCTCTACCGATAAACATTGTGTAACTCTCAAGCTCAGCAAGCAAATATACTCCGTATATACGACTACTATACACATATCCGCTAATCCATAGCAAAGGCTAAAGGTTCAAATCAAATGACGTAAGATGATCTAAAGAACATGCATTTGGATCAACAAAAGATCGTCCAAAGGTTAAAAATATGCATTGCAATAGTAAGCCGTCAGACTCAAAACTCAAACGTGAAAATGTTGAACTTAACTTATGTTTTCAAAAATAAACTTAACTTTTGAAGTGTATTAAAAAACAGTAATGAATGAAACACTAAGAGCCCGTTTGGTAGCATGAAAATCGGTTGATTTGGCTGACGATGCTAAAATTTATGAAGTTCTGGTTGAAGTGGCTGCATTGGCTGATTCTGTTGATTTAAGAAAAAAATTATTTTCAAAATATATTTTATTAATAAAACAAAGAAATAATTATATGTAAAAATAGTTTAGATGATCATCTACAGTAACTTCAGCCAATAGAGCCAGAAAAGTAACTTTAACCTTACTTTTTTTGCTTATTACACAATTCAGCGTGTGAAAGCAAAAATTGCGTGTTTGGTGGAAAAATTTGGCTGATAAGCTTGATAAGCCGAAAAACAGTGTTACCAAACTGCCTATAAGACTGAAAGTTACTAGGACCAATTACTAAAAAATACTCAATTTCCAACTTATTCGTTGAGGCATTAAAAAAGGTGGCAGCGTTACGGTCACTCTCTTCTCCCAAGGTTCGCCGCAGCTGAAAGCATGGACAACACATCCAAGCATGTAGCGGATTCCATGACTTGTTCTATGTGACATCCGCTCTCAAAAATACTTGATAGGAGTATGATACACCTGGATGATTTTTCCTTTAATTTTCTCAATCATTTTTGTTCTGTGCTATGAAAGTTCTTTTTCGGACACTGACGCTCAAGATTATTTTGTCTCCCTCGATGTGGAGAATTCTTTTGGTGCCCCGACCAGCTTCGTCTGGTCAGAGTTTTCTATTTTTCTTCTTTTGGACTGTGAAAAAAACAGTAGAGCTCGACATCCTTCAGAACTAGCTCCGTGCCTTAAATACTTTTTTGGAGTGATTTTATTTCATTTTTAAGACGTGATAAGTAATGATTAGTAGGAAAATAAATGTAAAATTAAGATGTGGCCTTTCGGTAATGATTAGAAGGAAAATAAATTTAAAATTAAATAAAAATATGTTAATTAGTAAAAATTAAAAGGTAATAATAAATTTTCCTTTTAAATAGCAAGAGGTAATGTATATTTCAATTATTCTACATCAAAAATGCATAAAGGACAATCTTATTTAAAATTAATTTAGACTAAAAACATTATGGTAATACGTAGTACATCCTGTAAAATATGAAATTCTTCAAATTAAAAACAACAGTAAAGTGAACTCTCAAAATGTGGGTATTGTACTTTTTATGAATATTATTTCAAAAACATGTCCGTGAATGTAGCTCAAATGGTAAATAGAGAGTGTTACAAATGACAATGCGTCAAACATAAGAGATTATCATATGAAATTATGAAAATGGATATGATCTCTGTAAGTGCTTGAGCGGAGATCGACTCACTCACTATGTATAAATTTGTGATTATAGTTTAATTTATATCTTTCTAGTTATTTCTCTGGTGCTGTGATGGGGGTTCTCGTGAATAGTATGCCATCCTTATTTTCAAAAACATAATGTTTTATTTGAAAAAACGTAGAGCCCGTTTGGTAACATTGAAACTGGGTGAACCGGCTGATAATTCTGCTGAAATTTATGAAGTTCTGGCTGAATTGACTGTATTGACTGATTCTGCTGATTTATGAAGAAAAAATTAAAACATATTTTATTAATAAAATAAAGAAAAATTATATGGAAAAATAGTTAAAATGGTCCTTTTCAGTAACTTCAACCAATACAGCCAGAAAAGTAACTTCAGCCTTATTTATTATTATTATTACTATTATTATTACAACACAGAAATCAAAAGTTATGTGTTTATTAAAAAATTTGGTGATAAACTTAATATTCCGAAAAACAGGGTTACCATTTTACCAAACAAGTTCATAATCTTTTACTTGATACTGTTCTAGTCTTGATATCAATCAATTTTTTACTTTATCCTCCGTACTTTTTTAACAACATTTCACTAATTTCAGGAAGGTTCTTTCATGCACCACCCCCATTAATTTTATTCTATCCGTTTGATTTACCTTTATATGTTCAGCAATTGAGGCGGTGCTGGAGTTCGTGGAAGGCTGGGAGGATAAAGTTTTTGGGTATAAAACGAAAAGCTCCATTGATTTGCCTTCACTCATTTGAGAGCTCTGATCCAAAGTACAAAGTTTGAATGAATCCCCAGAATATTTAGCCAGCATGTGATTTCACTATAAAGTACTCCGTATACTGTAAAGCAAACTGTAGGTGCCCCACCCACCCCCGCCTTTTGCCAGTCTTGGGTTTGATATACTCGAAAGTCACCATTTTGGACTGCAGGGGCCTATGGGCATACTGGGGATGGCTAAAACAGCAATGCGAAGTGTTAGAACTTTTTCTGTGCCATAAAGTGAAAGCCAGTTCGTCGTTTCTTGCTCATTAAATCGCCATTGCTGACTTCCTCCCAGTCTCGAGCTTTTTAAAGGGCGTGAAGGTGGGTATTGGAAATCATGTCTATTTGAGTGTCAATCTAAGTTCACATCCTATGTAACATTGGCCAAAACTGCATTTTTCTTAGAAAATAATTATACTTGGTCTTCCCGTGGATACATGCATGTCGACATTTTACCTTCCATGGATTCCTCTGTTCCCAGTTGAAACGGACATTTAATATGGTATATCCCTTATAGAGTTATGGAAATTGATTATCTCTCCTATTTAAGAGAATCTCACAGTACAATGGGGTGATTTTATTTCTACAGTTTAAACTTTTCCAGGAATCTCATACCATATTTCTGATTCATCTTTAATTCTTCATTCATGTGCTTTCTTATATGTGTGATTCATGGTTTGGTTTTATGCTCTGTAGGTGGTCTGTCTTGGTGTTGTACATTCTTTTTTTTATATCTATTATTTTCTCTTTCCTGGTTTTTTGTTTACATTTATGGGTTTTTTAGGTTAGGGGTTAAGGACTTTCAAGTTGGATAAGTTTATTGGTATCTCAAGAGTGATGGACATCATTTTGAAGCTAATCAAAGCAGCATTTTTTATGCTGCTATTGCTATGGTGGTTGAGGGATGTTTTGAAGAGAAAGAGACAAGGCGGTACTGTTGTTGTTGATGATGCTTCCAGACATAAAGGAAAAACCATGATTTTAAAGAAGATTGTAGTCTCACTGAACTTTATCATTGCAATATCTTATCTGGGATTTTATCTCCATGTCATCTGGAGATTTAGACACTATTCCATTGATGATTATGTTTTATCAGCCTTAACGTGGACTGCAGCTAGTTTAGTATCTCTGTATTCATTAAACCGAAAATCGGAAGATAACAGGTGGCCTTTGATGCTTGTTCTCTGGTGGGTCTTTTCGGCAGTATGTTATTTACTTTTGGTCATTCTTCATCTTGCCACCCTTTACTGTTACATTAAGGTTCCATTCGTAATCCCGAAGACCAACATCGTTGATTTGGTCACTCTGCCACTGTCAATTGGATTGTGTTTTCACATGCTTCCCAAGTTTTCTACCACAAGAGAACAGAATGAGGCGCAACAGCCGTTTCTTCCAAAAGAATGCCATGACCCTTTTTGTAGTGCTGGGATTTGGAGCCGTGCTATGTTCATGTGGCTTAATCCACTGTTTAAGAAGGGGCGTCATGAAAGACTGAGACTAAAACACATACCTTCCATTCCTGAATTTGATACGGCTGAGCATGCTTCATCTTTGTTGGAAGAAGCCCTTCGGGTGCAGATAACTCCTTCACTTCCCAGTGCAATAATCCATGCTGTTTGGTGGCCTCTCACTGCAAATGCCTTTTTTGCAGGTACATTCTTCATAGAAGTAATATTTTTGAAATGTCACATATGGTTCGATTGCTAGTATTTTTAAGAAAAATATCAACGATTTGAAATGAATTCGAATAAATGTTAAAAATAGATTTATTGCTTAACAAGAAATCATCTACTTTATGTCTCCTTCCAAAAATGGGCCCTTATAGAATGGAAATACTTGACAGAAATGCTCTTAAGAGGATTCAATACCTCCATTTATGTCCAATCAAGTCCTTTCCCTATAACATTCTCTACCCAAAAACAATTTTTTTCCTTCATTGTTTTCCAGTTTTAAGACTTGGGTTTTGTAAAAATAATCGCTTTTGTCATTTGTCATTGTAGGTGTTAACACAATTGCATCATATACATGTCTCTTGCTGATCACGAGCTTTGTGAAGTTCTTATCAGAAAAACATGATGATTTAAACTATCTTCGTCATGGATTACTTCTCGCATTTGTATTCCTCTTTGCAAAAACCATAGAATCATTGTCCCAAAGACAGTGGTATTTTGGTGCTCATCGAATAGGCATTAGAATTAGAGCTGCTCTTATGGCATTGACATACAAAAAGTCTCTACTGGTCAAGCATGATGTCACAAGAAATGGACAAGTCATCAATTTCCTTAATGTAGATGTTGAGAGGATAGGGGACTTCTTCTGGCACATTCATGGAATCTGGTTGCTCCCTGTTCAGGTCATTTTTGCATTGATAATCTTGGGCTTGAACTTGGGTGTTCTTCCCTCAATAGCTGCACTTTTCACCACAATTATTGTAATGGTGAGCAACACCCCACTTGCCAGTATGCAAGAACAGCTGCACTCGAAGATTATGGAAGCTCGAGACTTTAGAGTCAAAGCCACTTCTGAAACGTTAAAAAACATCAAAGTCTTGAAACTGCATTCATGGGAATCATCATTCATGAAGAAGTTGCTTCAACTAAGAGCAACAGAGAGGAGTGTCTTAAGGAGATACCTATATACCTGTTCTGCTGTGGTTTTTCTCTTCTGGGCTTCACCAACTTTAGTGTCCGTTGTGACTTTTGGTGTTTGCGTTGTGCTCAAAACACCTCTAAGTGCAGGAACTGTCCTCTCTGCTTTAGCGACTTTTCGTATCCTGCAAGAGCCCATATACAACCTCCCTGAGCTGATATCTGTGATTGCTCAGACAAAGGTTTCAGTTGACCGGATGCAAGGTTTTATCATAGAGGAAAGCCAGAAGAGTTTGACAGGATATCTTGCTCCCAATGTCACAACTGCTGATGTGGCAGTTGAGATTGAGCCTGGAGAGTATTCTTGGGGAAGCGACTACTTGAGAAAACCCACAATTAAGATAACTGAGAAAATAAAAATCAGGAAGGGATGCAAAGTTGCAATCTGTGGTTCTGTTGGTTCAGGCAAGTCAAGCTTTCTCAGCAGCATTATGGGTGAGATCCCAAAGGTTTTTGGGCGAAGTGTCAAGACTAATGGCTCAAAAGCACTAGTGCCACAAAGTGCATGGATTCAGACAGGGACTGTTAGAGAGAATGTGTTGTTTGGGAAGGAAATGGATGCAGGCCGATATCATGATGTTCTGGAACGATGTGCTTTAAAACGTGATATTGAAATGTTGGTTGATGGAGATCTTACTATGGTGGGAGAAAGAGGAATAAACCTAAGTGGGGGGCAAAAACAAAGGATTCAATTGGCCAGGGCAGTTTACAGTGACTCAGACATATATCTCCTAGATGATCCTTTCAGTGCTGTTGATGCCAAAACTGGTGCTCATATCTTCAAGGCGAGTAGTAAGCTATACTTTTTTTCTTCAAAAATTCAGTTTTTTAATCTAACCTCTTGAATTACAGCAACTAACAGAGAATCATTTCTCAGAAATGTCTGATGGAGACTCTGCATGGCAAAACTGTTATTTATGCCACACACCAGTTAGAATTTTTAGATGCCTCAGATCTTGTCTTGGTAAGTTTCCATAAAGCAATATTTACTGTATAATCTATAATTTACCAGGAAAATTATTGTTCCCCTTGAGGTTAGGGCATAATTACTAGCCAACCTTTGAATGATTTAACTCCTTGAGGTTAGGGCATAATACTAATTGGTAACTCCTTGAGCTTTGGTTATTCTCACAAGTTCCGACTTATGTAATAGTTTATCTCATTTGTCTACACTCAACTTAAAATATTCTCTCTTAAAAGACTAAAAACCTTTTTATCATTATAAGCCTTGAATGCTTCTCGGTGTTCTCCCTCATCTGCCACAGTTGAAGTTATTTCTTCCACGAATTGAAGAGGGGGAAATATCTAGCAGCACAGTGGAATATAAATATATAATGATGAAGGACAAATGTTTTTACCTGTAAAGTTTTAAGAGAAGATATTTTTGACAACTTTCGTTTGATTTGGCGGTTATAAAGTCAAGATGAAATAAATATCGAAGTGGAAGTTCCGAGATTAATCAAAACTCGTAAACTAATTCACTTTTGAATTCACACTGTTGGACTAGCAATTATGACTTAACCTCAAGTGGGTAACAATAATTTTCCCTTATAAATGCATGCATTTATCACAGATAGATTTAATCTGATTGCTTTTGTTATTTAATTGTATAGGTAATAAAAGATGGTACAATAGTTCAGTCAGGGAAGTATGAAAATCTGATAGGAGACTTGAATGGTGAGCTTGTGAGACACATGGCTGCACACCAAAAAACACTAAATCAAGTCAGCCCTTCCAAAAACTACTGCATAAACAAGTGTCAAAATCCAAACAACTTGATGATTGAAATGATAGAAGAATGTGAAGAACTTACGTTCAATGATAAACAGTTGGAAAACTCTCAGCAGGAAGAGACTGAATCAGGCCGAGTTAAATGGAGTGTATACTCTACTTTTGTGACCTCTGCATATAAAGGGTCTCTGGTCCCCCCTGTTCTTTTATGTCATATTCTTTTCCAGGGGTTGCAAATGGCAAGTAATTACTGGATGGCATGGGGAACTGAAAAAGGAAGAGTTTCCAGAGAGCAACTGATTGGGATGTTTGTCTTGCTGTCAGGCGGAAGCACTATCTTTATCTTGGGCAGGGCATTTTTGCTTTCAACTATTGCAATTAAGACTTCTCAGCAGTTTTTTACCCGAATGACTGAATCAGTTTTCCGTGCACCTATGTCATTTTTTGACTCTACACCGTCGAGCAGAATTCTCAACCGTGTTAGTAGTATTTTTTGTACTAACTTACAGAGAAGTAGCAAAAATATTAACCTCGAATAGAATTTTTGTAACTTCTATTGTTTAAACTTATTTATATCAGGCCTCCACAGATCAAAGCACTCTGGATACGGATATACCTTATAGATTGGCAGGTCTGGTGTTTGCTCTTATACAACTACTCAGCATCATTATACTCATGTGCCAAGCTGCGTGGCAGGTCTTTATCATCTTCCTAGTCATACTTCCCATCTCCATGTGGTATCAGGTAAATATATGTCATATTGCAATTATAAAATGCTATCAGTGCACTTATTGTATGATTTTAAACATGTGGAAAAGATTATGATGATTCAACAATTCTAAAATTGCAGTCTTATTACATCAAATCTGCTAGAGAACTAGCTAGGATGGGTTCTATCCAGAAAGCTCCAATTCTCCATCATTTTTCGGAGTCACTCCATGGAGCAGCAACAATTCGTTGCTTTGCTCAGGAATTTCGCTTCTTGCAGAAAAACTTGAGTTTCATTGATGATTACTCGCGTGTTTCATTTTTCAACTTCGCCACAATGGAATGGCTTTGCCTGCGGATCAACTTCCTTTTCAACCTTGCCTTTTTCGTTCTTCTCATCATTTTGGTGAACCTTCCAAGATCAGCCATTGATCCCAGTAAGTTCTTTCTAGAGGAACTAAATTTTATTTGGTTCAATGATTATATAGACATTATGGACAAGTAGACAACATACAACTTGATTCTTATACCCCTTCTTTTGTTAACTTTTTTGTACCTGAAGTTTTTTCACAACTTTGATAGTGTAGTAGTTGGGATTAGTGAATGTGTGAAAAATGAAAATGTAGGAAAGAGTAGAGTAGGAAAGGGAAGATCAAAATGAAGAAAAAGTTGGAAAGAGAAGATGCAAAGGTAAGATGGAAGTTATTGAAATGGAAATGGAGAAATGATTAAAAACTTCCCTAAAAAATGGAGTAACAAATAAAGAACAGTGGGAGCATAATATAATTGTTTTTGGGTACTACAACTATTTGCTAAATGAACTCAACAAGCGAATGATTTCAAGCTACTGCAATAACAGCTAATAATTTATGTTTTTAGTGACAATAGCAACAATGACAAATCAAAAATAGCAGCAGGGAACAGTATCCACATGCCCTTAACTTCTACTATACTGCTAACTTTTTATAACCCGTCTGCTTTCAGTATTAGAAATAATTGTGCATAAATAATTGATTGTAGTGTATATAAGTAAAACTTTTGGTCTGGCTTTAGTTGCAATGATCATTGTATATCACGTTCTAGGGTGGGTATTAGATGGACGTTTTTGTTTGTTTGCAGGCTTAGCAGGACTTGCTGCTACATATGGATTAAATCTTAATGTTCTTCAAGCTTGGTTTATTTGGAACCTTTGCAATGTAGAGAACAAAATGATTTCAGTTGAAAGAATATTACAATTCACCAATATACCCAGTGAAGCTCCACTTATTGTTGAAAACAGCAGACCAAAGTCAGAGTGGCCAGAGAGTGGAAGAATTCAAATTGAAAATCTTCAAGTGCAGTATAGCCCTGATCTTCCTTTAGTTTTAAAAGGAATTACTTGCATCTTTCCTGAGGGAAAGAAAATCGGTGTGGTTGGAAGAACTGGAAGTGGTAAGTCCACGCTTATTCAAGCCCTCTTCCGGGTTGTAGAGCCGTCACAAGGACGGATCATGATTGATGAAATAGACATTTCAAACATTGGTTTGCAAGATTTGAGGTCTCAGCTGAGTATAATACCACAAGATCCAGCTTTGTTTCAAGGAACTGTGAGGACCAATATCGATCCCCTTGAGCAGCACGCAGACCATGACATTTGGGAGGTAAAAATTGTAAATAGTGAGAAAATGCCTTAAATATGTTTTCAGTCCTTTCAAATATAACATTTTTTGTTTTAGATCTCTGCAATTTTTTGTTTTGTTTTCATCCATGTAATTACGGTACTTCATATTTTCTTTTCAGTCCCTCCCTAACTCTTTAGCAATCTCCAATTAGAACAAAAAAAGTCTCCATCGTAACTCTACTCTAAACTTTCCACTTCGACCTTTTAAAACCTTTTTAAGATTTTTCTTATTGGGGTTAACTGTTAAGACTAAGCATCTTTTAAAAGTCAGCATTTTAATCTTCCAAAAAAATAAAAGTCAGCATTTTAATATAGGTCGTTTGGAAATAAAATTTAAATGTTTCCTATAATAAAGTGACACAGAAGAACAAAAGAGATTAAATGATTAATGTTAGTCATGTATGTTATGTTGTTAAATAGAATATGCTAGTTATAGAATGATTAGAAAGAAAACATGGTAAATTAGATGGATGAAAAACAAAGATATGTTTTTTGCAGGCAACTGAATAAGACATTATACTAGCAGGGACCAGAAACATATTTAAGCCGATTCTTACATACTTGTATATTAATAATAATGTAAAACATATGACAACAACTTTTAGTGTCTCAATGTGGCTGTAGGTTGTGGATAAATGCCACCTTGCTGGGATAGTAAAGCAGGATTACAGACACCTAGATGCACCAGGTACAGAGTGATAAGTCGTAATGTAGATCCAATTTAAATGAAGTGATAGTTTTCTGAAAGTTTGGAGAATTCCACAGTTGCTGAAGATGGGGAAAACTGGAGTATAGGGCAAAGGCAGCTTGTTTGTTTGGCAAGGGCCTTACTACAGAGGAAGAGGATTTTGGTGCTTGATGAAGCTACTGCTTCAGTAGATACAGCTACTGACAATGTTATTCAAAAAACAATACGAGAAGAAACTAGCAGTTGCACAGTCATAACTGTCGCGCATCGGATTCCCACCGTCATTGACAATGACCTTGTCCTTGTACTTGATGAAGGTAACTGATGCAATCATGCTATCAATAGCAATATATGGATGCAAAGAAACATATCCATTAATAAAAATGAACATTTTGACCAAACAACTCGCAATTCCTCATCATTATAATCACTACACACTTTTTATCCCTAAACTTGAGGGGCCATTCACACTGCCATTGTACCCACATTGGTGTCCACAAAATGGAAAATCCAAGAAGAATCCAAACCCCGTTCATTTGCGGTCACCTAATTTGAATCCTGTCCTTTTGAAGCTGTTTTTATTGCCTTTATCCCAAACAGTTTTTTACCACATTTTTCACACTACCTTTCAGTCTTTCACCATCAAAAGTAGTGTTTTGCACTTATGTTGTACTTCAATTTTTAAAATTTTAAATAACTTCACAATGTTTCAAATTATTATCACCTTTTCAAACTTCCCAAAAATTTCTCGCGGGGTTCTCATGGAAACAGCCCCTCTGCCCTGAGGGTTAGAAGTAAGATCTGTGCAGGTCTAACTCCTGAGACCTACTTCTGAGTGCAATGTACTGGAAATATATGCTTTGGTTTGGCTGGGTTGAGTTATCTTCGTTTTTGTTTATTGCAGGAAAAATTCTTGAATATGATTCTCCTGCTCGGCTACTTGAAGACGATTCCTCTGCATTTTCTAATTTGGTGAGGGAATTCTTGAGGAGATCCACCGAGGCAGGCCAATTGTGATGTCCGGATTAGTCACACTCTAAACCCCATGTCATTTCTATCCTCACAACAACCCTTGGCACGTAAGTGACTCTCATGAACAGCAGCTAGAAGAGGGATGGGTGTTTCGACTGGAATCAGCTTAGGATAGTCTCTAATCACATCTAACACAGCCTAGTTAGAGATGTAGCAGTGGGAATTGGGTAATTGAAACAAAGGTTTCTTAATCAACCTACCAACACGGAACGATATGAGACTATATAAAAAATTGTTGCAAATGAGAGTAAAACACGAATAAAAGTGCACAAACACGAATGTTAAATATAAAGTGCAAATACAAGTATGACTCATTTAGTCCTAATAGAATAGCAAAAGTAGTTAAATTTTCTTCATGTAGGGGTGAATGCATACTTGAGATTAAATCAGTTAGTCCTATTCGAGGAAATGTATTATGTTTTAATCATCAGTAGTTTCTTTCAGTACAGCGTTTATTTGCTCGGGCATTGTACTGTTTGCTTCGTTTCTAGATTAGTAGAGGAGCGCCCTTTGTTGTGAAAACCACGCTAAGCTAGGACTGGGTGGCTGTCGGGTGTTTACGGCTTACCTCGGCTGACAGCATCGGCAGAGCCTACAATTTCTAATAATAAAATTGTATATTGATTTGGATCATACTTTGTGTTGTTGTTGTTGTTGTTGTTGTTGTTGTTGGGCATATGGCAAAGCTTTACTTGGTGCCATTTCTACCATTTTGGCTGGCTTAAAACATGCTTGTATATGGCTATAGCCTATAGAGATTTTTACCTGTGGCTGTGACTGAAACAAGGTCTTTCTCCATTTCAGTTTTCAGTTGGATAATACCACTCCATCAATTTAGGCAAGACTGAACTTTAAAAAAATGCTCACATATAACACTCAACATCCAATTAGGGGAAAAACTTCTTATTTATATCTTCAGAAGAAGACCATATTTTAGTCCTGTTGTCATTTCCTCAAGGATGCAAACAAGCCAAGAAGGGAAGAGTTTCAATATCATGGTTAGTGATGGACCCGGGCAGGGCCTAGGCCCGGTCGGGCTTTTGAGAAATGGGGGAGGCCCGGAACCGGGCCAGGTTGCCACCGGGTACGGGCCGGGCCGGGCCGGGCCTCGGGCTACTTTTTTTTAGGCTTTTCTACTTAACCCCCCACCCCCCCCCCACCCCCCAAAACACCCAGCCCCAACCCAAAATAAACAAAATAAAATTGAAAAAAAAAAAGCCCAGACCGGCCGGGCCGGTTCGTCTTTTGGGTGACCCGAGTCCCGAGTCCGCACCGTAAACCCCCCGGGCCGGGCCTACACGGACCGGTCCCTGACCGGGCCGGGCTGGGCCCAAACAGTGCCAGGCCGGTTCCGGGTCGGGCCACCCGGCCATCACTAATCATGGTTGTTTTTTGTTATATCGGGAAACATCATTTACAACTCCCAAAGGTACTTTTTCACTCAAACTAATAATGACGAATTTGATATGTGAACAAAAATTTAAAAACATTTTTAAAAAATCACAATCTTGATCATTATTTTTTTATTGAAAGATTTGAACAAGATGTCAAACGAGCCCATGTGTAGTCACTATTACCATCTCCTTTTTTCATTTCAATAATGACCGAACAAAATCAAATCAACTTTTTGGCATGTTTTTAACACCCGGATTTTTTCCAAATAAACAAATCTTTGTGTATACCTACTAGTGTTTTTTATACCAAGTATCAGTGTGCACTGTCCATAAGGGAAGGGAATTTACCAACACACGAGAAGCAACAACCAAATCATAAATGCATTACCAAGTTACGAACTGCAAAGAAAAAACGTACACTTTGTCAAAAATAAATGAGTAGTTTATTTTAAGAGCAAAAGAATAATTGTAAGTTGAAAATAATTTTGTTTTTTGAAAAAGAAGCTGAGATCTACAAATAGCACTTCAAATCCTAAATAATTGTTCCTTTCTTTTCCAAACATACGGAAATATTTACCAGATGATATTTTACTCCGCCAGAAATGGAAAAATAGTTTCTATAAATATTAAATTAGATAGTCCTTTTATTAATGGTGGCAATATTTTTCATGTATCATGTATGAATGGTGTCAGTATATTATTTGTCAAATACTGTATTAATTTCTGTGAACATTCAATTTTTATAGGGAAAAAAGTTGGCCTTTTTTACGATTATTACTAATATAATAATATGAAATGACAAAAAACTGACTCATAACTTAAATTTTCAAAAAAGTGATTAGTGATTAATTATGTGTGCTATTTAAGTGGTTGATTACCTTTTATATAGGTATCAATTAAAAGCACTTATCATACAATTAAATACTCCGTACGTAGAAAGCAAGAGGTGGTGCTTTGATCTCCATTATTTAAGGCAACTGTCATTGGGCTATGTACTCCATAAAATTTAAGACCATCTGCTTTTCATTAGCTTATTTTTAGTTGTAACTAAGACTTTGTCACTATATACTATAGTAACTAATATTAGTTTAATTCGGTTGTAATAGAAATCCTGTCATTATTATATATTACAATAATTAATACTAGTTTATTCTGATTAGTGGCGGATCTATGTTCCTAATTATGGGTGTTCATTTATTTTCTATAATTAAAATTTGAAAAGGCAATAAATAATTAAATTAAATTTATACATGTATACTAGCTTAATTTTTTGGAAATTTATTAATTCAGGACCCGAAAGATAGACGAATTATCAATCCGGGACCTGAATGATCAAATGCATCGATATTGGATCCGAATGATGAAAAACTATCAATTTCGGACCTGAATGATTGAAAACTATCAATTTCGGACCTGAATGATTGAAAACTATCAATCTAGGAGCTAAGTTGTCATAAATTTTATTATTTTTTTATTTTAAAATTTTAAAATATTATTTAGTTTTATTAAACTAATAAACTTTTGTAAGAAAAATTTATAAAAAATTAGTAATGGAATTAATAAAAAATTAAACAAATCAAAACCTGTGAAATGGTAGGTCCTAAATTGATAGTTTTCCATCATTCGGGTCCTATACTGATACGTTTTATCTTTCAGGTCTTGAATTGATAATTAATCTATCTTTCGGGTCTTGAATTGATAAAATTCCTAATTTTTTCAAATCTAGGTGTTCATATGAACACCTTTGAACCTATATAGCCCCGCCACTGATTCTGATTGTACTTGAAACCCTGTCATTTTACATTACAAGAACTAATACTTCGTACTAGTTTATTCCGGTTGTAATTGAAACCCTGTCACTATATATTACAAATTTACACTAATTAATACTTTGTACTAGTTTATTCCGGTAGCTAGTATTTGAAACCATGTCACTATATATCACAATAACTAATACAAGTTCATTCCGGTTGTAATTGAAACCATGTCACTATATATATTACAGTAACTAATACTAATTTATTCCGGTTGTAATTGAAACCTTGTCACTATATATTACAGTAATTAATGTTAGCTTATTCTCAGTCCTAAGTGAAACCTTGTCACGGTATATTAGAGTAGCTAATATTAGCAAACCCTGTCAATATAACCCCTACTATCCCTCTGTGACTCGTCCAACATTGTTCACTTGTAACTGAAAACTTGCATTGTCACTATAATTTCTGATTTCATCTATATGCTAAAAAACAAAAACAAAATAGTGAAGAAGATAAAGAAGCCTCAATAAATTCTCAGAACACGTAAAAGAATTTTGTGGTTGGAAACTATGGTGATTTAAAGAGAACAAGTCTTGCCGTTTGTTGATAGAGAAGAAAATATGGCAGACATACACCCATGAATGTTGTTATTTTCATTGACAGCTTTTGTTGAAGTTGTGAAAGAGAAAATATCAGTTCTTACACTAGTGTTTTACCCCGGGCGTTGCCCCGGGTGAAAGTTCTGAATGTTTGAATACTTTATAAATCATATTTTATGTCAGACCTTTTTTTTGGCAAAATTTGTTTCTTTTGGACATATGAATATGTTAAGATATCTTTACGCATTACTCTTGATATTGCAATGTACAATTGATCATTAATGAAACTTCTCTTTCAATGTATAAATCATATTTTATGTGAGACCTTTTTTTAGGCAAAATTTAGCCTTGACTTTTATTGATCATCATTGCAAAGCTTATCATCATACGGAGTAATAAATTGCTTTATTCGAAATTGAATAAAGTTGTCATATGGTGACAATGAGATTTTTAATAAATAAACTTTATTTTTCATAACTTTTCAAATTATGACTTGTCATACTTGTTTTTTCATTGGTTATGACCAATTATATTTTATTTGAATAAAACTTATGCATGATTAATATTCCTCAATAACATTATCGGGGCTCCGATTTTCAAATGAAGGACATGGTAGGGCAATCCAACCATTGAAGCACTATTAAGATCATATTCGACATTGTACATATCAACATGGAAAGTAGTGCTGGTGTGTGAAGGAATAATATTAATTGAACTAAGATATGTAACTTCTAGGCCATCGATCAACGATAGCAAGTAGTTAGTTACTCATGATGTTTGTTGGTGTAACATCTAAAATCTTAGAACATGCCTCATGTATCAGCACAGCTTCATCCCATATAATCAAAGACGCGGCATGCAACAATTTTGTCTTCGCACTTCCTTAATGAATATTGTAGGTAGTGCGACAATATTTATGGGAATAGGAAATTAAAAGATGAGTTGGAATTAGCTTTAGTAGTAGAAGACGTAGATGGAGTTTATTTAACAATATATATATATATATATATATATATATATATATATATATATATATATATATATATATATATATATATATATATATATATGTGTGTGTGACTAATAATAATTACTTGCACTGTGCATTTTCTACCAATTTTTAGACCTCAACGTGCTCTTGTGATTTCATTTGTTGGAACAAAATGATACAAACTCAATATATATACTAAACATGTTGATTTTTACACTAATCGCACATCCTACTTTGGTTATATTTTATTCATTAATGTATTAGACATTTTTGAAAAAATTGTTCAGTTCGCCCCAAATTAAATTTCCAAAAAGCTCATGTTTTACTTACAACGAATTATACATAGCATTATAGCAATAATCAAAGTAGTGTGTTGGTAAACGTGAAAACGGAAGTGTTGTAACTAAAAAAGAACGGAGAAAATGTATAAAAGAGAAACTTTTCTCAAGCATAAAGTTGGCCATGTCATTATTATATACTTCTAATGAAGCCAATTAATTTTTTATGATGTAATAGAAAATACTAATCCCATAATTTATGGAGAATATAAAAATATAGATAAATATGATTTATATTTATTTAGGAGAATCACACAATGTGTATGTACTCACAATTAACTTACTCCCTCCGTTCTGAAAAGATTTGTCAAATTGACTTTTCTTGGTCAATAACAATCATCTTTAATAAAAGATATTTTAAATGCAAAATTATTTAGAATATGAAAGTTATAACAAAATGTCCCTTATTCAAAATATTTTCATAAAAGTATAAAATTAATAAATTATACTCCCTTATTTCAAATTTAATAAATTATTATATTTTCATAATAAGTTATATCAAAATGTCCCTTATACAATATAATAATTAAAATCATTGTCTCAAGTTTGTCATCATTGACCAAAAATAATCACTATGTTGAACCTTTTCGGGACAGATGTAGTAATATATTATACTTTATCAATACTATTTAAATTTTTTAATTTGAAAATCTCAATTCATATTTTTAAATCCTTCTCCTATATTAAGTGTGATTTGAAAGGTAGTTTTGTGAGTAAATAAAAATGTAAAATTTGAAAACAAATAAGAAATTTATATCAG